GCCACCTGGGCACCCTGCTGGCTCCTGCTCAACCAGTACAAGAGACTGTATTTGGTGTTATGGTGTGTGGTTTTCTGGGTCAGGGAGGTCACTGTCATCAACCACCTTTGCAAAGTTCACAGCTGCATGTGGTCACAGCCACAAAAGGAAACCTCGCCTAAGTTTCTAGCTGCATCAATAAAAACATCGTGTTTTCCTGTGATGTGCATCAGCGATGCACCCTGAGGGAACTGCTCACCGCTCACATTCAGCCCTCCTGACCTTTAAACTAGGCCTGCAAATCTTGCAAATCAGCTTCATGAGTCCGTACTTGGGGACTCGTATCAAAGAAGATATGAGTCAGGAAATTTCTTTCCAACCATTTAATTCCAGGCTCTGGCAGAACTTCACACCTTCCCGGGCACACTGCAAAACTGTCCATTGCTCTCTCACCGTATCTCACAGAATCACAGAAGTTGGAAAAGACCTCTAGGATCATCAAGTCCAACCATCAGCTCAACACCACCACAACCATTAAAACATGTCCCCAGGGGCCACCTCTACATGATTTTTGAACACCTCCAGGGACAGTGACTCCACCACCGCCCTGGCAGCCTGTGCCAGTGCCTCATCACTCTTTCAGAAAAGAAATTTTTCCTAATGTCCAAACTAAACCCACCCTGGCACAACCTGAACCCATTTCCTCTTGCCCTATCACTAGCAACTTGGGAGAAGCGACCGATCCCCACCTCACCACAAGCTCCTGTCAGGGAGTTGTAGAGAGCAGCGAGGTCTCCCCTCAGCCTCCTCTTCTCCAGCCTAAACAGTCCCAGTTCCCTCAGCCGCTCCTCCTAAGACTTGTAACAGGCGTGTAACAGGACCTGGGATCAGCCATCAGAGCCCAGCACGGGGCACTGCCGCGCCTAAAGCAAAGCTTTACACACAGCCCGTGCGGAAGAGGTGCACGACAGCGAGATGGATTTACTGTGGCAAAGGAAAGCGGACGGGAGCTGATCAGAAGTTCCCGAGGCAGGATGGGGACGGGAGAGCAGCAGGGACAGCTTGCAGGACATAAAACCAGAGCGTGCTGCGGGAGCTCAATGTGCACGACACGCTTGTCCGTGCATCCTTCACAGCTGTCACGCGGCCAGCGTAACCCACTGAGGCACACCGCCCTCCGCTCGGCAAAGGCCCTGAGAGCTGACATTCTCAAGGTCACCGTTTTCCTCCCATCTCCGGGCTCCATTTCAAAACAGGATCCGTGAAAACAAAGCACTTACTGCTCCAGAATGCAAATAAAAATCAAAGCAGACGTCCCTCTTTTTACCTCTAGGGGTTCAAGCAGAAGCCAAGCGGAGAGCCAAGAGAGCTGATGACATGAGAACTCTGCCGAAGAACCCCTCAGTTCTGGCAGACAGAACCCCTCAGTCCTGGCAGACAGAACCCCTCAGTCCTGGCAGACTGTTACGTTTCAGCATGAAGCGGCTCTGAAGCACAACAGCCCCCGCAAAGGCCGCAGCGTTACTCTAAGTAGGTACGTGGTGAGTTTTGCCTTTCTTTTTGAAAGTAAGGAATTTGCCGTGTACCTCCAAGTCGTTGAAAAACAAGTGAGTGTCAGCTACTTCAAAAATCATCTCCTCCATGGACAGACCTGAGCCGATCACTAGAGTTGGATCCTGGCAAAACAGAAAGAGAAAATGTAAATTCGCGCCGTTACAGGCAGAAGTAACTTGTGATCCATTTTTCATCAGTTACGCTGCAGCTTCCACTGTACATCAAGCCTGATCTAATTCCACCTGCATTCAATGTCATGAGCTACAATTGCCCTAACGTTTTAAAGGGCTGCATTAAAAATAATAACAATAACAATAACAATAACAATAATAATAATAATAATAATAATCAACCTCCTGGAATACGTTGACCCAAAATGTAACAAAAACACTTCCGTACTGCACAGCAGAGATCCATGCATTTTCAGAGGTAACACAAACAAAACATTCAAAAATGTTCAGTATATTCTGAAGGAGAAAAAACAGTTCCTTTTACTATATGCTAGGATCTCAGTAATTCCCAATGATGGTAAAAAGTTTGATGTTTTAGGACGTGTATTGCTAGAAGGGAAGTGTTTTTGATGCCCACAGCCCAGCTCTGGACAAAGCCAAATTTAGTGTTCTTTCCCGCCCCAAACTGCCAATAAGTTAAAAGTATCATATGCTTTTAAACCAAAATATTTTTTATTCCTTTTCCAAAGATTAACATTCAACTCTGTGTGACTGGTTTTCTCGCACAGAACAGATGACATTACCTTGCCATATTTTTGAGCATAAGAGCCTGTGAGAAGTGAATGGAAGATGATGATGGTCTCATCCAGGTCCCAGAGGAACACTCGCTGCAAGGAGAATAAAAGCAGGTTAGAGCTGAGATATTCCAAGTACTGAGCTACGACAAAGGAGCACGTTTTAAGGCTAATTTTGCGGTTAGCTGCAGTATGGTTTTAAGAGACATGAACAGCAGTATTCACCTTACAGGCTGAACAACTTATTAAACTCTTTCAGTTTATTGCAGTGGAGTTTACGCACTGCTACAGTGCAACTACACACTTGGAGTAAGGCTCTCTTGGTCAAACGATTTCAAAAGCTTCTCTAGCTTTTATAGTTATAAAATGAAAAACCTGAGTGCTGCGAGCCCTGCTAGGGTAGAAGTTTACTGTCTGTCATCTGGAGAGCCTGAGGTAAACAACCTCGGGGTTTATCAGATACCTTTGTTATCATAAATAAGGGGGATTGGCTGCTACAAGGAGTAACAAGCCTTTCGGTACAGAAGGACCTTGATAAATTGAGCAGCGGGCCAACAGGCAGCAGCACTCCCTCCCTGTGGGTAAGATGAATTGCACGCTGAGCACAAGTACACCCAGGTGACAGAAGGAAGGTGCTGTCTCATCCTACTTGGCACTGGGAAGGTCACCCCAGATTGCATCCCCAGTTCCAGAAGTATGTGAGGAAGCGAGAGAGCAGCCAGTCGGGATGATCAGCAGCCTGAGGAGAGGCTGAGGGAGCTGTCCTGGGTTATCCGGCAAAGAGGAGACTAAGGGTGATCTACTGGCACACCATGACTCATCGAGAGGAAACGGCAAAGATGATGAAGACAAATTCTTCTCAGTAGTGGCAGATGGCAAATGGATATGGGAAAAGAAAGGGACATTTGCAGCTTGGGAGATTGCAGCTGGAGACAGAAAACCTCTCCCCAGGGTGGAGGTGGCAGAGATCACTAGACAGGTACAGGATCTCTGACCTTGGAGGTTCTCAGGGCTCAGCTGGACAAAACCACAGCTCGTGCTGGGGACAGCCCAGCTCTGAGCAGGAGGCTGTGCGAGACACAGCCACAGCTCTTCCACTGACACCCCCATGGCTCCCAGACACGTTTAAGTGATGGTTGTCAAAGACCACCACAGAACTCATTTGGGCCAGTTCTCAGGTAGCACGGGTCGTGGGAATTTCCCAAAGTACCTCTCAGAACAGGAAAGACATGGACCACGGGTCCAGAGGAGGCCACAAAAATGATCAGAGTAATGGAATATGTCTCCTGTGAGCACAGGCTGAGAGAGCTGGGGCTGCTCAGCCTGGAGAGGAGAAGGCTCCTGAAGGGGAGACCTTCCAGCAGCCTCCCAGTGCCTGAAGGGGACCTACGAGAAAGATGGGGAGGGACTTTTTAGTAGTACCTGTTGTGACAGGACAAGGGGGAATGGTTTTAAACCAAAAGAGGGGATGCTTAGACTAGCTATAAAGAAGAAACCTTTTACAGTGAGGGTGGTGAGACACCGGCACAGGCTGCCCAGAGAGGTGCTGGAGGCCCCATCCCTGGAGACATTCGCGGCCAGGCTGGACGGGGCTCTGAGCAACCTGACCCAGTGAAAGGTGTCCCTGCTCACTGCAGGGAGTTGGATGAGGTGACCTTCGGAGGTCCCTTCCAACTCAGACTGTTCTATGATCTCCTTTCGTTTCCATGGAGATAGGATGAAAGGAAGTGAGGACTTTTACCATAACGCTATTCTACTTACTACTTACCTCCAGTTCACTGTCCTGTGAGGAGGAGGTATCTGCTTTCCTCTTCCCCCTGTTCTTTCCAGGGATGTTTTTTCTTGCCTGCTCATCTAACTCTTTACTTGCTGTTGCTCTTGATAACGAAGGACTTGTGGATGCATCTCCTGGAAGAAAGAAATCACACCGTTCTCACTCCCCCACGTCTCAAACACTAATATTAAGCTTACAGCATTTGGCCACAAACCTCCTTTGCAAAAGATGTTATCTTGCTTCAGTAATGTGGTCATAGCTGAACCCTTAGTAGAACATAAAATACGGTTTCTTTGTCCCATCATTCCAAAACAGCTCTGCCAACTCAATCTGGTCCAGCAGGACTGAGCTCCTTGCTGCACCCTGCCTGCAGCACAAAGCCAGACCCAGAGCACCCTGTGCTCCAAGGCCCGGGACCTCTCACACATCTCACTACCCTGGAACTGCTTTATTACTCAATTGTTTCTTTTAATACTTCTTGAGAGAGCACCAGAAACCCTCAGTCTGGAATGACTGTGCAAAGGGAAGTATTTAATGTTCCTCCCTCCAAGATCTCCTGGACTATCAAACACTTGTTGTGTCAAGCATCGCTACACAACCGACGACACTGCACAGCCAACAGCACTGTGTGGCGGGGGCTGTTTCCACCTCTAAGTACACTACTCGCTCCTGTGCCCCCGCAGGCTGTTACACAACAGTCAGTGCACAGTTACCTGGAGTGTGTTAATCACACTCAGATCCCCAGCGTGTCAGCTGAGAGGCAGACAGACTCAGGCTGCAGCTCCACTCGCCTACGCAAGAATTAGTAAAGAATTACAAGGATGATCTCAGCCCTGGAGACACCGAGTTGGCCAAACACCATGGCCAGGACTGCTGAGGACACATCATGGAGCCAGTTCTGCTACCAGTAAGAACATCCTTCCCAAGGAAAGAGTAAAGCACCACTATGAGGCAAAAACCCCAAAGCACAGCAAAACCAGATGCTTTGATGTGCAGAATATTACGACCACGACGGGAGATACTCTCTGAATCCTTTACTAACAGTTCAGGCAGAAGAGTTAATAGATCAGAACCAGAGCAGGAAGGCAGAGGGCACAGTAGACTTGAAAGAGCTTGAGTTCAGTCGGGGTCTTGAAGATGAGACACTGCAATTCCTATAAAAATTCATGCAAAATGGTGAACTTCGAGAATTCCCACTACAAGAAAATGGCACTGAGAACACAAAAACTTGGGCCATTCCCTGGCCGGTGCCCTGAAACAACAGGTTAATTCCTTAGGTTTTCAACCTCAAATAAGAACAAATTCTCATGGGTAAATCTGCTGTTGCTCAGCCCAACTAGAGGGCAACTGCTTCCTTAAAGAGAGAAAGCGCTTGAAGCACCATGCTTCTTGATTTTGCTCACTGGAGCCATCCATCCCTGCTCTGGGTCTCCTGAGTGACTCTGAGGACTTGGCAGAGCTCAGGTACTACTCATGGACTTGGCCAGATGGAGAAGGCAACGTGCTCAAAGGCAACCCCTCACCACCTCCCAAAAGCAGGCTGGGGCCCAACCAGGCTCCAAGCAAGAGCTACTTGGAAGCAAAGCCTCAACCCCTTTTCTTCCTCTCCTTGAGTTTTACTGCTGAACATGACATTATACAGACACTGAGCGGGTTGCCCAGGGCAGGAGTGGAGTCCCCATCCCTGGAGGGGTTTAAGAGTCGGGCAGACCCAGTGCTCAGGGATGTGGTTTAGTCGAGGACTTGTCGGTGTTGGGTTAACGGTTGGACTCAATGATCTTAAAGGTCTTTTTCAATCTGGGCGATTCTGGGATTCCATATCTGAAATCCCTTCAGTCAGCTCAGGCCAGCTGTGCCAGCTGTGCTATTTTCAAGGTTCTTGCCCACCTCAAGGCTGCGTTCTGGCAGGGGCTGTGGGGAGGGCAGAACCTTGACACTGTGCAAGCACGTCCAGCAGCAGCCAGCACACTGCTGTGCTGCCAACGCTGCTTTAGCCATGAATCCAAACCCAGCATCGCCAGAGCCGCTTTGAAGAAAGTTAACACCATCCTGGCAAGACCCAGGGCACCACCAAAAATTCATGTTTTTTCCAGCAGTCCAATCTGCAACAGGCAGCAGATTTCAGTTTAAAATTGTTCAACAACACAGGAAGAATCTCATAACTCCTTGCATAAGACACTGGAGGAAGCACAAAGTCTTTGCCCTTGACCTTGTTAAGTTTAGAAAACTGTGGTTTTGGGAGAGGAAACTTTTGGCAACACCACTGCAGCTGGTCCATGATACAGCATTAGTGGAAAAGGTCAGCCAGAGATACGACTTCTCTAGGATAGTCAATTAAATCTTCTCAATCCTCTTTCTGTATCTTTTTTCTTACTAGAGAAGAACTTCTCCCCCTGACAAGTGCCAAGTTATCTTAATGCTACACAGATGCAGAGCTGCACACATATGAAGCAGGGCAGAAGAGCTGTTGTGTCAAGACAAGTTTATATGATACAGCAGAAGAAACGAAAGGATGAACTTCTGGGCATAGCAGAGACCCACTCATCGAGGGGTGGTGGCTCAACTACAGCCCTGGAGAACAGGAGCAGTCCCAGAGTTCCCTAAGTGGGACTGGCCTCTCCGCTGTGGCTGTCAGGTAACCTGAACACCTGGCTGGGAAAGGGAAAGAACTTGCAGGAGCCACTGGGATTGGATCTCATCAGCTGCCCTGGAGCCCAAGTGAACACCCTGCTCCAACACAAGACAGAGTCAACAGTTAGTCCCCAGGGAGCTGCTGTCAGCAGCATTTCAAGCCACTCCTGAAATTCCCTCTCCCTAGGGCATCCAGAGCATGTGGCAGGTATCTCCTGGATCACAGCAGTTTAAGATATCCAATACATAAGTCTGGCTGCTCGCCGTAATGCCCCACACACCAGTGAGACCAGTTTGACAACAGAAGCCAAACGTCCTGTCCAGGCGAGCACACAAAGGTGCTGCAATTACTTTTTGGGAAAAAAGCTTCGCCCACGTCTCACAGAATCACCGAATTCTCCCCACTGCGCAGTTTATGACGGCTATTTTGCAGGCACCCTGTTAAAGGCCAACCATTACCAGAGGAATGTCTCTGCACCGTCCGCGTAGGCACCATGGCGTTTGGTTTTTCGGTTGGATACGTCGTCGTTGCTAACGCCGTGCTCTCCGTGTTGCTGTCTGCTGGTGTGATGACGCCAAAGCCAGAACTCGGGTAACACGTCTGGTACTGACTCTGGCCAAGGATCGTGTACGTAGGGTACTCCTGTGAGATGCAAGGATTAGTTACGACAGGACACTTCTTTCAGAAAACACTCCATATGAAGATGAATTTTATGCTAGAATATGCCCATCGAAGAGAAATCCCACCAAGAGCACAGGCTGACTTTCTGCTACTTCTGTGTGCATGTGTAAGACATCCCCGGAAAGGGCAGAGACCGACTTCCCGACGGCCCCCGCACAGGCGGGTTCTGCAGACAGGAGGCCAGCGACCACAGGACCGCTCCTCTGGCTACAGTTTCTTCCAAAACGAATTCCCTCCGAATGATGTGACAGTACCAGGGCAGTGTCGAGTGGATGCCAAGGCATCAGCCCACTCTGCCTGTGCTCTGGAATTTCTGGTTTTGTCTTGCATTTTACTTTCTGACACCAAGAGGTACTGACAGCGATAGAAAGTGGTCTCAGCACTGGCTGAAGGTGCAATCCCAGCCACGATAAACTGCCTTTACTCACGTCCTGACTCCAGCAAGCAAGTATTCTGCATGCTGGGATGAAAGGTTATCATTTATGAAAACTTATTTACTCATTTAGGAAATCACCGAGCACCTGAAGCTGTGCTTGACAATTTTAATTTCTGCTACTGGTAGTCAAGAAAGCAGCCACCCCAAATGTCACGTCACGCTCTTCTGGCACACTGGGCACTTCTGAGTCCCTCAAAGAGCAACCTGGATTTGTAAACCACACACCTCGGTCTGCACTACTGAGAGAAAATCTTTTTCACCCCTTACAGCTCCAAGTAAGTTTATGTTAATGAAAGAACCTTAAAAAGCAATAAAGGCATAGAAGGACTTTTGTGCATCCTTTGCACTTTCCACACTTTCCATACTGTCTTTCTGCAAAGCTGTGATTCTGAAGGGTTCTTCTGTACATCTAAATATTCAGAATGGCAGTTACCCACAGACACTGCACTACCCACCGCGGGTCACGGTCAGGAGGAAGGGCTCTGTGTGAGCTGCACGGCTTTTTGACTTTGTTTTATTCTAGCACCAACAGAATGCCTCTTCGACTTTGCTGGGGCTTTTTTGCTTGTTTTGTTTGTGCACAACCTATTTGCCTTTTCTTGCTGAGGGAGAACGAAGGCATTCCAAAATCACCTCCCTGTAGGTTTGGTGCTCAAAACAGCTCTACTGTCTCTTCTCCATCGTCTCTCTCAGTACCCTGCTGGAGATCCCCACACGACCTGCCGCTCTGAGTAAAGTGCGTTTGCTGCCAAGGCCAAAGGGAAAAGCGTCACACTCAGAGGAAGAGCAGGAGTAATTTTGCTGACTGAGTTACACGCAGAGCCCCGTAACTCCAGCAACGCACTGTGCTCCATCTGAAGCGACGCAAACACTCAGCCTTCCTTCGTTAGCTTTTAGCTGCACGTAAACAAAAGAGGGAAGAAGTTTTACCTGTGAGATGCTGGCTACTGCTGACGTGGAAATATTGACAACAGTTGAGGATGTAGAGACTGGACTGGCACTGGTAGTTGATGCTGTAAAATTAAGAATTACTGCATTAAATGCTTCTAGAAAAGCATGAGCCAAGTTGTGAAATAAGTCGTTATTAGGCGTATGGACAAGCATCTGTGCTTCCAGCAGCACTCTCCTTGTAACAGCCAAAAAAGAGTTGGGACGCATTTTGAAAGCAGTTACATGTCACCCGGGCTTACAGGGAAGGAGAGCTAGCGTATCTTTAAAAACAAATCTTTCAGAAATCTTTTTCTTCCATGCCTACTAAGCAACTAGAGTATAATTTAAATGCGTTTGAGAAGACAACAATCGCATTCTGATGTTCAATTTTCCATTGAAAATTAATCAGAATAAATCAGCAAAATGGATATGAACACGTCTGGATCAGATCTAACAAAAAATTCTCTCTGCATGGGACAGAGCGTATTTAACCTAATTAGAAAAAAATAAGGAAACAGTAAAAATAACTCAAATAGTAAAAAAAAATAAAGTCGCTTCCCACTGGAGAAAGCGAACATTATCTCCCCGTACCCCTGTGAGACTACAACTTTTTTTTGGATGAGACTTTCTAAAATCATTTGTCAACAGTTCATAGGACAAGTTGTCACAGACAGGTAGTTGTCAGTATAAATTTTAAGACGTTTAACAGCCTTCATGTCGCTGCATTCAGTTCTTCCAAAACACAGAAGAGGCTGCTAGAGCACCACCTGGGAACATCAGTCATTGAGCAGATTTTTTCCCATTCAACACTACTCCACGCGGGGGTTTTGGGGCCCTCAAGGATTACTGAAAAGAAATCATGAAACCAGCAGGAACAAAATCAGGATGCATGAAAGGAGGTGTGCCCCTAAGAAATACTTGCTTTCACCAAACCTTCTTGCTCCGCACATAAATCAAATGAAAATCACTTTTAGATGCTCACGAAAAGACTCGCAGAAAGCCCCAGCATCGCCTGCTGTCCCGTCACTCTGAGAGAAGCCCTCACTTTCTGTAGCTGCCCCCAGGCAGAACTCACCCCACGCTTCCGAAGGTTTCAGTCCTTCCACCCCAGGGAAACAGACCCCACCAGAACTCTGACTCATTGCATGGTGTGTAACGGCAAGCACAGATACTACCTGGTGAACAGCTCCTGGAAAGAGGAATGGATCCCAAACACGCCTCAGAAAAGATGAGAAACAGAAGAAATACATCTTAAAAGAGGTGCAGTAACACACAGTATTTACAAGAGGTGAGAAATGTGAAGGGTGGTATCTCTGCAGAAGCAGAAACAGAAGTGCCGAGCCTCTCGGAATCCCTCACAGATAGAAGCAGCGGTGTTCAAAAACACACGGGAGAGAATTTCGGGGGGAGAACATTTGAAAAAAAAAGAGCAAAGGCTGCACTGAACAGCCATGACAGTAACGAAGACACTCAAGTACCTACAGTAGCTCTGCAGCTACTAGAAGCACAGCTGGGAGGGTAAAGTACCCGTCACAGATACTCCTCACGAGCAACTGCCAGAGAACAGGGGCTCGTTTCCAAATAAAGCTCCTTCCAGCCATCCGAGTTACAGCAACGATCGAGGCTGTCATGACCTTAAGAGAAGGGCACTTCCCAGGGCACCGCCAAGAGCAGCTCTCCAGGAAAGAGCCTCGCTAACGCGGAACAAACCTGCCGCGCAGCCGGAGAAGATGAGCTCTCCAGATGAACTAACCCGACCACAGATTATTCTACCACCTTCCTCCAGGTGAGCACAGAGACAGTGATTCTTGTCTGTAGTGCTCTAAGGGCTGCTTCGCACTGAGACAGGTAACAGAAGTTAAGAAATCATAGAAAAAAGTTTCTAAGTGCTGAGATTCTGGTAAAAACCAGATTCCCTCACATGAACTTCATGTTTACTCTGGTCTCCTTCCAACACTTCTTTCTGAATTACCTTTTATCTACGCAGTGTTAAGCAAAGGTCTTTACAACCAGCTCCCACTACACACATTAACCACTTATTTCTGCACTGCGGGTCAGTTCCCTTTCCCTGTGAATGGGCCAAAAAAGTTTGGCACAGATTGGTCAAAAAAGAACTACACTTCATGGTCTCAGGTTTAAAAGATCAGCAAACACAAGTATTGCCTTCAAGCTGCCATGATTCTTTTTCTCTTCTCCTGTCTTTCCCCAGACCTCATCCTCAGACTTCATATCCCTACCTGCCCTGTCCTACTCATCCCATTAATTTCTGCTTCAGACATTTTCAAAGACGTTTCGAACTTCTTGCTGTGCCGGGAAAGGAAATTGCAACGAATGCATTTTGTGTTTCACTCGGCTGCTTCGCTCTCACAGGGAAGGAAGAGGTGAGGTACGAAGCCGCCGTTCCTCCCTGGTCCCTCCTGAGCGCCCCAGTGACATGTCACCGCGGCCACAGCTCGGGCGAGTACAAGAAGTAAAATTTTACAAGGTGCATCTGACCATTTGCCAGGGTTCAAATCCCACCTATTAGTTCAGCCTGGCACCTGCAGGCTAACCCGCACCCATGCGCTGAAATACCCCACTGGTGGGACAGCAGCATTGTACAACCCTCCTATTTTGTAGAGAAGGAGAGAAAAGACAGATTTCCAAGAGGTTACTAATAAAGCGACTTTGTCCATCCTTCCAGCTCCTGCTGTCCACCACGTCCCCTGCAGCAGCCCAAGTACTGACCTGACCCCTCAGCGAGCTGCTGCCTAACGTGACTGAAAGGAAATGCAGCAAATCTGAAAAAGGAAGAGCTCCCTGCCAGTTTGCAGAAAGTTTTTCAAAAAAGCAATAGTATTTACACAATTCCGGTGACTTCTTCGCATTTTCTGAGAGCAGCCTGTGGAGAAACTCTCCTCAACTCACGCCTGCACGGATCCAATGGTTTAAAACCCTTCTGCGGAGCGAGGCGGTGGCTCCGTCACCTCACTGGCGCCCAGGGCTCACACCCTCGTCACGGCACATCCCTGGCAAATCTGCCAGGGCTCACGCTGTGCAGATCCATTTCTGAGCCTTGGCCACTAAAGCTGGTGCTATCAAACACCGCAATTCATTCTGCCAGTGGGATTACCTTGGAGGAGAGCTATGTTTGAAGGAAGGGAATATTTCCAGTGTCGTATTGCTCATGTTATGAATGTGAAAAGTAAATTAAGGATAAACATTACATTGGGCCATTTATTGTGACAATGACACAACCTGAGCAAGCACCATGACACACCGCATGGCCTTCCGACCAGCGAAAGATATGCCAAAACCCACTTACTGCTAATTTCAAGAGTTATTCCCCTTTACTTTGCACTCAACAGAGCACATCTGGATGTGGCATTCAGTTTGGGCCTCAAGCCCAAGAAACACGTTGATGAAATTCAGTGGGTTTGGCAAAAAGCCACCAAGATTGCTCCAGGGTCGGGGCAATCCCGACCACAAGTACAGGCTGGGGGATGAGTGGGTGGCGAGCAGCCCTGCAAGGGAAGACTTGTGGGTACTGGTGGGTGAGACTCTCAGTACCAGCGGGCACTGTGAGCTCACAGCCCAGAAAGCCGCTGGCACCCTGGGCTGGCTGCAGAGCCTCGTGGCCAGCAGGGCGAGGGAGGGGATCCTGCCCCTCTGCTCCGCTCTGGGGACACCCCACCTGCAGTTCTGGGTCCCGCTCTGGGAGCCCGGGCAAGAAGGACACGGAGCTGTTGGAGCAAGCTCAGAGGAGGCCCCAGAGATGAGAAAAGGGCGGGAGCAGCTCCCTGGGAGCACAGGCGGAGAGAGCTGGGGCTGCTCGGCCTGGAGAGGAGAAGGCTCCTGAAGGGGAGACCTTCCAGCGGCCTCCCAGTGCCTGAAGGGGCTGCAGGAGAGCTGGGCAGGGACTGCTTACAGGGAGGGTAGCGACAGGTCGAGGGGCAATGGTTCTAAATCAGAGCAGGGCAGACTGAGATTAAACGTTAGGAACAAGTTATTTACTGTAGGGTGGTGAGACCTTGGCCCAGGGTGCCCAGAGAGGTGCTGGAGGCCCCATCCCTGGAGACATCCCAGGCCAGGCTGGACAGGGCTCTGAGCACCCTGGCCTGGTGGAAGGTGTCCCTGCTCACTGCAGGGGCTGGGCTAGATCACCTTGGGAGATCCCTTCCAGCCCAATGATTCTAAAAGAGTCAGGGAGCTGGAGCCTGCGCCCTGTGAGGGGCACCTGGGGGAAGCAGGACTGTCCAGCCTGGTGAGGAGACGGCCTTGGGGGACCTGAGAGCAGCCTGCGGGCACCTGCACGGAGCTTAGCAAGAAGACAGAGCCAGGTTCTTTTTGCAGGTGCACAGCAGGAGGAGGAGAGAAATGGTCACAACGTGAAAGAGGAGATGCTGCAAGCTGACAGAAAAGGAATTTCACCGTGATGACAATCAGGCACTGGAAGTGGTGAGATCTCCATCCTCCAAGGTTTTTGAGATCCAACTGGATAAAGCCCTGAGCAACCTGGTTCTGAATTCAGTGCAACTCTTCACTGAGCAGGAGGCTGAACTAAAGATCTCCTGAAGTCCCTCAATTAGTCTATGAAAATACCACACAGGAGACTAAGGATTACTGAAATGCTTTTTAAAAACTACAGAGAAAGAGACAAATTTTTACAATTCATCACCTCATGATAAATGGCAAAAATCCTGCCTAAAAAAAAGTATCAGCTTGCACATGTTTGCCATAAGCAGCCATATTTCTTTATTCAGGTAACTGGAACGTTTACTCCTAATAATTGCTTTGGAAGCTGGTGAAGTTCAGCACCCGGTTTCTTAGATGTGGCACTTTCAGCAGCTGGAATATTTGTAGGCTAGTCCTGTACTGAGAAATCCACTTCCGAACAGTTCTACCAACCTGGAGTGTGCATACGATATGAAAGAGCCATCTGCCTCCAGAAGTAATTAAAATAAATTTAAAAAAAATCCAATGTCGGGTCAGCGTATTTCGTGACCCCAAGCTAAGGGCCACCAACAAAGAGCTTGAGCTGCAAGAGCATTCCCAGTAAAAGCATGCAAGAACGGAACATTTAGTCTCCTCTCCCCTTCCCATTTGCTCTTCACCCTGTGAAGTCCATGAGCATGGCACCGACGAGCCAGCCTGGCGATACAGAGGTCGGCAGCAAACACAAAACCAAACACACACACACGCACAGAGAGAGGAGAGGCAGAGCGTACAGAAGCATGCACAGACCAAGAACACACGTGCAAGCCTCTCTACTCGTGCTATCTGGACTCAATTAGGTGGAGAGAGATGCAGATAAAAACCATGCCAAGTTACCTTCAATGGAATAAGAATAATGTGCTGGGCTGGGCTGGCTTGTGGTTAACCCTGTCGTGCAGGTAAGAACACTGTGCTGACTTGTAGATGGAGTCTGAATTAAACCACTTTCAGGTTTCATACCTGGCCACAGCGCACCTGAATCGGATAAATTGGACCAGTTATAAACAAATACGCTGGGACCAAACGGCATGCTGCTACCTCAGATTAAAATTTTCGCTCTTCACAAAAGCAAGTAACAAATCACACATGGAAAACATTTGATTGTTGCAGTAGTAAGTGCTGACTGTGAGGCTGTGCATGGATTAGAGTTGTTGACAAAACTGGCTGGAAAAAAAAAGGAAAATTAAAAACACCAACAAGACGCATTTCCAATGCTTTCAACTAAAAAAATCTGTCAGTGTCACAGGAAGATTTACTGCCACGCCGGCCTAAAGGAACTGCTAATCCCTCGGATGTTTGGGCTGAGCTGCACAGCACTGCCAGCGACCTCAGCGATTACAGAGCGAGGCTGGAGCCGGAGTCTATTAAGGTCAAAATCAACGTCTTCACTACTTCACCGGGCTTTGGGCTGAGTATTTTAAAACAAGCCACAAGTCAGTAATTTGCACAGACTGACAACAGTGAATATAAAAAAAAGGGCAGGGGGGACTCTAAATATTTCTTCTAGATTTCCTGCCATTCTGGAAAGCATTTGTAACAACGCCGGGCAAAGCACAGAGCCAGGGAAGTGCTGTCCTCTGGGGGCACGAGGCCATGTAAGCGCGTGGTTTAGTTCAGGTGCCGTGGTAAGGTCTGGGCACTGCACTGACGGGGCGAAAGCAGCATCCGACGGGAGTGGCTCAGCTCAGGTCTGCTTCTTCAGGGCTCTTCAGGCTTTTCTTTCTATGTCTCCAGACCTACAGCCAAAGTCAGAGGCATTTCTACCCAGCCGTGGTTAGAAAGCAGGAATTGGTTGAGAGGATCTACTTAAAATCAAGCAGGAGTGTGCAAAGCAGAGGGGCAAAGAACGTTTGGAGCTAGACGCAAAGTTTAGGGCCAGCAGAAAGACCATCCTCCCTCTGAAACCCCCCCAAAAAAACAGTACCCAAGGCTGTGAAAGCCACTGGCAGCCTCTCACCCACACTAGCAGGACGAGGTTCAGGCTAGGAGCTCTAACTCTGTTACCCAGAAGACCCAGGAGACTGCAGAGGTGGACAAGAGCAGCAACTCCCAAGAGCTCACTCCCTGCTGCAGCTTGGTCAGAGTTAAATCCCGCAATGGCTCTTTGATTTCTCTACATACCTGATCCCAAACTGTCACCTATGAGTCAACTAAGTGATTCACCTCTCTGCACAGCCACACGAGGGTTTCATTCTTCAACTCCCAAGTTGCACCTTCATTACCGTTTCAAACCTCTAGAGCCGGGAGGATTAGCAAACCAAAGGGCAAGCCTGATGGAAGGAAGACTGTAGATATATTGCAGAAACTCCAGAATAAAATATATGGCAAACAGATCCCGTAAGGAGAGTGGGAGTAGCTGCATTTGTTTAGTCGGGAAAGGGAGTGCCACCATCTCCAAACAGGTGAGTAGTTTTTAGAGGGAACAGTAACCAACGCTTCCTTACAGATGGCCGAGGAGCCGACAGCACCAGTGAGATGGTCACAGGGCACACCGAGGTGCCTCATAACCGGTACAATGAAACACAAACCACCTCTGAATGCTGCAGGGCAGTTACCACATGAGGGGTGTGACATCAGGTCAAACAGAGCGTTTGCAGGGCTGGTTGGATGCGAGCGCAGGAGCTGACTGAAGGTGTGTCAAAGCATCTCTCAGCCCCTGCTTTCCACGAGTGTCTCTCGGCATCTCTCGGCACAGACATGCTCTGCTTTCCAGGCTGCTGGCACACGGCCTTCCCTCTCACCCTGCCCGGTGTTTATAGCACGGCCTCAGGAACGACACTGAGGAAGGCGGGTGAGGGGGAGCACGACCACCCCAAGGCCAGGGGCACGGCGCCGCTGGGGCAGAGCGTCACCCAGCACGTGTACACACGTGGGAAGGCCTCACACGGGGCAGCCTGTGTAGGTTTAGGTTTTTCTTGAGTTATCTTAAACCATCACATCCACAGTGTTTCTACCACCGACTTAGAGCCACGCACATGCAGCCTGGATGTCACTATTTCTTTAATAAGATCTCTCCAGACCACAAGTATGTCCCATGCAGAACAATGCACTAAACACCCTCACAAAGCACCAGGAGTGCACCAGTAAAAGCAGAGGTCATCTCTTCTCTGAAAGCAACATCCTGACCTGAGTGATCTCAAGCCTCTGCTAGTGTTTGCCAGTTTGCTTGAATTTCGTACTTAAAATACACCTGCTCTGTTTACTCAGTTGGATAATCCGTGATGCCTTCTTTTTGGCATCGAAACAAAAATACAGCAGAAAGCCGCGTAAACCTCTGGAACCAGCCCTCTGACACTAGTAAAACATCTGACCAAGCTGGCTGAGTCCTCAGCTGCTCGATGGGGATTTGGCCAGCAGAAACAATTGTACAATTTGGTCTGCACCCTGCATGTCCAGTCCTCCACCCTCCACCTCTCCATCACACCAGGCAAGGTCCAGCCTCTCGGTCTGATCAAGCACGTATCACTCCCGTATGATTTCTGTTACTGGAAATATGACTTTTAACATCTTCCTGACACTTAGACTAAAAATTCAGGTGTTTAATAATAGACCTCAACAGACCGAAGTTTCTATGAAATCAAGAGAAAATGCTGATCTCTTGCCGAGGTCAACTGGTACATTCAGAGAATAACACTGAAGCAGCCAAGTATCCCTGAATTCCAGAACCTCTGCAGCAAAAAAGATTAAAAAAAATGGAACTCCCTCTCCCCATACAGCCACCACCAACAAAACAGCACACAGACACACAACCAAAAAACTCTGCATTCTCTCTCCAGCCCAAAGTTCTACAAGCAAGTCTACAACACCTTTTTTCACATCCTGGCCTAACCCTTCAGGGGAGCATCCCACATACTTGCACATATTTGCCTTTAAAAAGCCTCAAACTCACGACACACTAAATGATCTCCAAACATGCAAAGCGGCCTCAGTGCACTGTCCACAACAAACTATCAATGAACTCCAAATAAGTGAGGAAAAGGAAACTGCCAGCCACTGCTCACACAGCAAAGCCCGGGGCAACACGGCCCTGAAACCAAAGTGCAACACCCAGGGAGAAGAAGCACGTCCCAGCAACCACGGCGTGGCATCGGGTTGTGGGTAACAGACCCTGGTGATGACACCCAACACAACCATGGGACAGAAGGACAAGGCACGGAGTGTGCAGGAAGACACCAGAGAAACCGCCCCGGCAGCTGAAGGCTTGGGCGTGCACACAGCATCGCTGCTTCAGCTTCCCCGGGCAAAGCTCTGCCGGAGGAACGAAGGGAGCTCAGAAAACACAACAGGCAGAGATCACAGAATCACACAGAATCACAGAATCATTATGGTTGGAAAGGACCTCCAGGGTCATCAAGTCCAACCTTTTTCCCAGCATTTCTCTAACCACTACACCATATCCTCAAGCGCCACATCTATTCGTTCTTTAAACACCTCCAGGGATGGCGACTCCACCACCTCCCTGGGCAGCCTGTTCCAGCGCTTCACCACCCTCTCAGTGAAGAATTTCTTCCTAATATCTAATCTAAACCTCCCCTGGTGCAACTTGAGGCCATTCCGCCTCGTCCTGTCATTACTAATTTGAGAGAAGAGTCCAACACCAGCCTCGCTACAATGTTCTGCTCCTCGGGAGGTGTAACACAGTCAACTAGTCCTGCCCACTAGAAACCCTGCCACCCCGTCCCGAGAGGCAGTGGGGAGGGTCGGTCACTTCTAAAACCCGCTGACGCAGGAACCTTACCGGCAGGGGCTGAGCCAGAACGCAGAAGCAGCAAATGTGCACAGACACCCAAATGACCCAGTTCTCCTGAAGAGCCTTGAGCTGTTAATAAAACAGCCCAACACTGACACCCTGCAGAGCTCCCTCTCGATGGTATTCGAGTGATGAAGCCAGAACAACGTGTCTCAGCATGAAGAATGGGCAAATGAGATTCAGGAGACACTGTCTGATCGAACCCTTGTGCCCCAGCTACTACAGAATCGTTGTTTTCTTCCTAACCACAAGAAAACTCTTTTTCATGAATTTCAGGTCCGTATATATATGAAAAAACGAAAGAAAGGTATGTAGATTTGTTTTACATACTGACCTTTCTCACAAAAATAACAACTGGTGCCATATTACTTTAAACAGTATTAATGCCATACTATTACGTCTAATAAAGCTGAGCCCAGCTGTATTACCTTTTCTACCCCATTTTTTAAAAACTCTGTGACAAATCAATTGTTCTGCCATTCCTGTAAAAGTTCTCGCTCTGTCAGCAGCTAACAGAAGCCACAAATGTTGCTGGTTTTACTCAAAGACATCTAGTTCTTCAACCAAGGAAAAACTCACCCTTTTACACTTGAAGATACTAAGATTTTAGCCCTGCAGATGGACCTGCAAGAGGCTCTGTCCATTTAGTTACGCGGCACGACCACAAGCTCCCAAGACAGACGCTTCACGGCGTTCTTAGAGCACGGGGGGGGCTCTCCCCCGTCACCTGCACAGAAGGGGGATGCTCTCCCTTCTCAGGGCCAGCTGCCAAGGGGCAAAACCACCTCTGCCACCCGACATTTCTGAGAGCTGGCGACATCACACAACATTTACATAGGAAGTCGAGCAGGGCAACACGAAACAATGACGAGAGAAGTCAAAATGTTATTTTTTAACAATCACTTATAAAATTTCATACTACTCAACTCACCCAGAAGCTAAGATTTTGTTTTGCTGCCTGCACTACTCATCCTCAACTGCCTTTATACATCATGGAGAAAAACGGCCATTCACTTCTAAAAGTGACCCACAGCCCAGAGGTGTGTCTCTCCCTCCGTGCACTATACGAGAAGCACGGGGTGCACAGCTCGAAGCCCCACATCGAGCCTCAGCTCGAAGCCCCACATCGAGCCTCGGCTGCTCAGTTCCAGCAGCACCTTTGCCCTTCAAGCATTTGCAGAAACCGAAATGGCGAACAAGGGGCTCAAGTATTAGAGCAACTTAAGTGAACTTACTTGCCTAGTAACCACAGAAACATTTTAGTATGAAATCTTCACTTGGTAGAAGATGAAGTAACCGACAAAAGTAAAAGTCCTGGCCAGCAAAAGGGAAAAGAAAAATACCTTCAGCAGAGATGCTGTGCTGTGGGGTCTTGTGTGATTTCACTGACAAGGAAACTGCACAAACCCCAACGGGGGAAAGTTACAATCCCAAACTACAGTCCTGGCAAGCTTCATGGGGAGACACCCGAATAAATGGCCAGGCAAACAGCTCTGTAAGAACTAACACCTGATAATACAAAGTCCCATCCAGAGATCAGCACCAACCTATAATTTAAGCTAGGCAGGCGCTCTCCTCTAACCTTTTCTCTCTGACACACCTGGTTAAGCTTAGCATTGGCTTTTTAACAAGACATAACACAATAGTTGCAGGCACCGAGAAGTCTTTGGAGAAGTTACTTCTTACCGAAAGGAGGTAGTCCGTAGGTTTGGGTGGTCTGGGGGTAGATGGTGTAGGGCTGAGACTGCTGTAGTGCTTGGTACTGAGTCTGACCAGGGTACGGGCTCATTGTCTCCGACACAGGTACAGAAAGGATATGTGCATATGGCCTTATTAAAAAGAAAGAACAAAAGCAACACAGAACTATTTACTTTCTGTTTCTTTTAGCCTCCAAACCAGAAGACGTGCTAAAAGATCGCTTTAGAAAGAAAAAACAACACACACTGGCGCGTGCTCTTAGTGCACTGGGTGGTTCCAGCACGCCGGGCTCTGGGTTTCACACCTGCTGCCTGCTCCCTGCGGGGACACCCGGCGAAACTTCCCCCTCCGAGACACCAGAGCATCAGGGCTTGTTCCAGGAGTGGGAGGGCAGGGCAAGAGGGGAAGCACAAGCAATTGCTTTCGCTAATCATGCTTCACACCACCAAACCCTAAAGCTAATACGGTAACAGCAGCGTGTGCCAGAAGGGCTGGAACACATGAGACCACAAAACTGTGCACGGGGAATCCAGATGCACCGTGATGCAATGGGAAGATCTCCTAAGAGCCCCAAACAAGAAAACTCATTATTGCCCTCATATTCATTTATAGCCAGGTTGTGTATTCCTCACATATTATGGGCTTTATTCAAGAAGACTGTTGTGTTAATTACTTGAAGGGGCTCATTCATCCTCACGATCCTAAAAGAACAGCCCCTGAAGGCAAAGGGTGACTTCTATCAGCTTCAGTGTCCGTGGCAATGAGCATCTGCTGCCAGCAGGTAGGAAAGCATGATTTGCAAGCGTTAGAGAAATGCATAAAGATCCATCTCTTCAGAAAGAAGCAAGAATTATAGAATTCAGTAACAATTGTTTCACTTACTTTGCAGAATACATTTGTGAGGTATAATCATTTGATGACCTTGGGATATAATCAGTGCATGTCATAACTGAAAAAAAAAAAAAGTTACATTGGCAATTTCAAAACCCAACAAATAATAGCAATTAAATACCAGTATGCACAGTACATTTTAAACAAAAGCCAGGATTTACAATGGTTTTTCAGTGCCTTGAACATCTGTTTCAAAGCAAATTCTCAAGAAATGCACTGTCAGACCAGCACAGAAATGGTTTTCTTGCCAGTTCACAGCAGGTAGATGATTCAGTCAATACTATTTTTCCCCTCCTAACAGCGCTCTTTCTCATTACCAGTTGGTACTGTCACCTTTTGCAATGGTCATGGCAAAACTTTAAGTTCAGTCCTACTCAAAACCTCGCATACGCCAAAGGGTCTCCATTTGTGCCAAGCTTAACATTTCTTTTCCGTTTCCCGGAGCTGCGACCAAAGCTTGTTTTGCCAGGCTTTCCTCTTCCCCTTCCCTTTTCTCCTTACTGCACCCACAGCGTGGCTCCAGCAACCTGCCTTGCCTTTAAGCAGGGGGGCTCCCAGCACAAACTCAACCCCACACATCATGGGACAACAGGCTGAGCCACAGCGCACAAGGCTCAGAGCCCAAATTCAGGTGACCCTGGAAGAAATTTGGCAGTTACGTTTAATGGGATGTTCCCATTTTCGGGCTGAGTAAATGCACAGCCATTGTACTCTAGAGCTGGCAAAACAGAGTTGCTCAGGCTGCAAATCCAAGGAGGAAATGTTCAAAATCTCCCTCCTTAGCACCTCCTGTGGCTCTAAGCATACTCTGTATGAGACAGTTCTCCAGTCCAGCGTTCTGGGTTGGGGTGGAGAAGGGGGCTTGAGCTGCTGTGCCTTAACCCAAGAGCCATTAAAAGAACCCACCTGGATTCAGAGGAGCTGACCTGACAAACACTCAGCTGCCCATCAAACTAGGAAAAAGCAAGGACCCCGGCACAGCACCTGGCACTGTGCACCACCGCAGAGCCGTGTACTGTGGCGATCCGCAACCTAGATGACTTCTGTGACTGCAAATGTGCCCAGTACGTGGGTGTACCAGTTTGGATCTACAAGCACGATGCCCAAATTCTCAGCAAACACAGCTGTGCTGCTGTGGATCCAGCTTATTCATCTCAAGTCAGTCTGGAAGCAGGCGAAGCGCCCAGGTTCCAGCCCTGCCTAGGAGGAGATCCAGGCTACCAGTGTCTCTCTTGCAGAGGTCCAGGGGCCTGGCTCCTCCATCACTGGCAGCCCAAGGGACTGCACTTCCCGCTCAGCTAACGGCTTTCAAAAATAAAGCTGGTCATGGCTACCAGCACACTTCGCCCTGGGACTCGCGCCAGGTGCCAGCGATGTGCTCCGAGGCTTTCCCTCGCTGGAGCAGCCCTACGGCACTACTGCTGGTGGCATCACCGAGTTGACTCATCAGCTCCATCCACTAAGGGGGGCAAGTTCCTGCGCACAGGCAGCCGTCCCTCCAACACTTGCATTCTGCTACTGAAGAATCTCCTGTTAGGGGAACCCGAGCCCAGGCAGCTGAGGAATAGAAATCATCGGCTGCACGCTCTGACCTTTCTGAACCTCCATGTGTCACCTCCCTCTCAGCAACAACTTACACGTTATGTATTTTCAATGAAGTTGAGGTGATTTACACTTTAAATGGGCAGTCCAAGGTATTCTATACCAGAATTCTACTTTTGTAATAATCTGCAGCTCGCTTTTTTGAGAAAAAATGATACATTCGACCTCCCACTTACTATACAATCTTTTTATTTTCTGCCTCAGTTTCCTCTCCATTTATTTGGTAAGAAATTTCTGCAGGTGTTCAACACAGTTCAGAGTCTAAGATTAAGCGTATGGCATATTAGTGCAGAAGACTCAATCAGCTGCGTGGAGACAATGATTTATAAAAATAACACCTCAACCCTCAAAAACTCCCCGTGTATAAGCCGGATAAGACACAGCAGTACCCAGCAGCAAGCTGGGGTGTAGGGACACAGAATTATTTGTTAGAAAGAGCTATTTGCTTACCACCAGGTATTAACCCTTCGTAAGCATCACAGCAAACTCACTTCACAACTGACAGTGAGGACAGTCTAAAGGAGGGGACAAAGCTTGTGCTTGATGAAGCGAAGTAACAAGACCCGTGGAAGAGGAAAGATAGTGGGAGCAGAAGAACGCCAGAAGATACTTACTCTCACTGGACATGGGAAGGTTTGAACCAAGGCTTGAAGATTCAGGTTTCTGTTCGCTGACTTCTGTGTTGCTCACGTGACTGCCAGGACAAAGAAAGGCTCACCATTAGCATCATGAACTCTTTAATTAACATCCCTGGGCATCGTAACTCCTGGGTCCTGAGGGCAAGCTGACTCTTAATGGAAACAGAGAACCCAAGAGAGAGATCTGCAGCTCTAATTACACGTTAAACTGCACTGGGTTTGCATGGCAAGGGTTTGGTCCAGAGGTGGTTCCCGTGAGAGGGTGCTGGAAGCTTCCCCCAGGTCTGGAAGAGCCAACTCCAGCTGGCTCCATGGCAGACCCACCGCTGGCTAAGGTCGAGCCCACCAGCACTTCTGGGATAACATATTTAAAAAGGGATAAAAACAAATTGCACCAGAGAAAAATGCAGCTGGAGAGAGGAGTGAGAATATAGGAGTGAAACAGCTCTTCAGACCAAAGTCAGTGAAGGAAGAGGAGGAGGAGGCGCTCCAGGTACCCGGGCAGAGATTCCTCTAAGTCGTGGTGAATCACGGCGAGGCAGGCTGTCTCCTGCAGCCCGGAGCTCCATGGTGGAGCAGATGTCCCCCTGCAGCCCAGGGAGGGCCCCACGCTGGAATGGGTGGATGCCTGAAGGAGGCTGCGACCCCATGGGAAGCCCACGCTGGAGCAGGCTCCTGGCAGGATCTGAGCACCCATGGGGAGAGGAGCCCACGCTGGAGCAGGTTTGCTGGCAGGACTTGTGGTCCCACTGGAGCAGTCAGTTCCTGAGGGACTGCACCCCGCGGAAGGGACCCACACTGGAGCAGTTTGTGAAGAACTACAGCGCCGCAGGAGGGACTCACGTTGGAAAAGGACTGTCTCCTATGGGAGGGACCCCACGCTGGAGCAGGTGAGGTGTGTGAGAAGTCCTCCCTTGAGGAGGAAGGAGCGGCAGAGACAGCATCTAAAGAACGGAGCGCAACTCCCATTCCCAGTGCCGAAAGGAGGGGTAGGGGGAAGGTGTTTTAAGATTTGGGTTTATTTCTCATTATTCTACTCTGATTTGATCGGTAACAAACGAAACTAATTTCCCCAAGTCGGGTCTGGTTAGCCTGTGAGGGTCGTGACATCTTCCCCTCAACCCGTGAGCCTTTCATTGTGTTCTCCCTCCCCTGTCCAGCTGAGGAGCGGATTGACAGAGCGTCCTTGGTGGGCACCCGGCGTCCAGCCAGAGTCAACCCACCACATCACCTCCAGCACATTCTCTCACCAATCAGCCTCTCAAAAGGTTGTCGTCCCCTCTGTCAGCACAGGTGCCCTCCAGGTTCTCCATGAGAGGTTAATTTGCTCCTCCAGCATAAAACCCGTGCAGTTATTTTTGCTGGGATATTGAGTAGATTCAGCTTATGGGGAGATCCAGTAAGCACCGTGCTTGGTGAACACTGAGCTGCAAGCAGAAACCCCTGCCCGGCAGCAAGAAGCAGTTCTATTGCTCCTTCACCTTGTAAAACTGCGGCCTGAGAATATCAGAGTAACCCAGAGATGCCTCCAAACTTCGGGAGAAGATGAGTGTCAGAACTAGCAAGAATAAAACTAAAGGCAACAAGCAATCATAAAAGGAAAAAGCAGTTTCACTACGGAATTACCAGTAATTCCTACTCTACAGATGAACAAACACTGACACGTAACTGAATCAGCGCGCGACGAATCCAAAATACCTCGTAACCTGCCAACGTATCTTTAGCACAGAAGTGACACCCAGTTCGAGGATGCTTCAGCACTGCCCTTCAGGGCCAAACCAGCAGTGAGGCAACCTCCTGCGGACAGCGGGGTCTGTGACAGGAAGGCCACAACTACCACTCACGGCTGCGTTTCCTTGGCTCCTGCAGGCTGGGGGGAAGGAGAAGCCGAGGAGTGTGTGATCCCCACCAGCAGCACCCTGGGAGCTCCAGCCTTCCCGGGACTGCTCCTCCAGGCTGTGACAGGCCCCTTCTGCCCAGCTCCCTGCGCCAGGATGGGCTGGAGATAATCCAACAGGGGGTACGGCTTGCCTGGGACAGAGGACGGGGGGAGCTGGCTGCTGAGGGCCCTGGGTGTGCTGACACGGCAAGTGAGGCTCCTTCCTTTGGCTGCTGAGTGGGAGCGAAGCTAAACCAAAAAGCATTATCTGTCTTTTTTCTGCCTTTCTAACCAAAATCCTTGGAAATCTTTCTCAATACTATTAGATGAACAGACTTCCATAATGAAGGATGAGTTCTGCAAGAAAATAACACGTTTTCTACGCAGACTCGGGGTATTTGTCTACTGTTACTCTTGGTAGAAGAAACCGCTGTGATTCTGTGGCAGAGGGTCAGCGTGCGGCTGTGCGCGGGATGCAGTTTGCAGGCAGGTTGAGAGCTGCTCGCTGTGATCACCTCCTGTCCAAAATGTAACAGATAAAACAATGTTTCTGACCATACTGTAGAATCATAGAATGGTTTGGGTTGGAAGAGACCTTCCAGATCGTTTAGTTCCACGTTCTTCTGGTCTCTTCCTCACTGCTGCTCTTCAGCGCTTGCACCTGTGGGACATCCATGCCAAGTGCTCTTATTCGCCATCATTTACAACTTCTCAGTTCTCACGGACTCAGAGAACAATTCTCACTTGCCCCACAGTTGTGAGACTGAGTCCGGCAGAGCAGCTGACAGCAGAGCACGCTGCGTCCCCACAGGTGTCAAAACTCTTTGATGCTTAATGCTCCCCGAAGAGACAACCCTGACTGGGTACAGCCCTTCCCTTCTCCGCTAGAAGTGATACAGATGGAGTGCCGACAGCCCGAAAACCACATTGCTGGGAGAAAGCGGTCTAATCGATCATTTCAAACTATTCTGTGGGTCAAACTTAAAACCATCTATAGTTTTATCAAAATAGAGCTAGAATATTTACACAGAGTATTTAAGCAGGCTAGAAAGGCAATTTTATCCTTCCCTCTCCCATTCCATTTTTAAATACTCTGCAGGGATGTTTACACTCAAATCTTGCTGCTCCTGGCGCTTGTAGGGAAGCTGGTTTTGCACTGAAACAGGGCAATGAGCTGAAGGAGAACCGACACTGTTCCTTCCAGCACGTTCAGACCTGCCCGTGCTGCCCCCAGCTCCTCTGCGGCCAACAGAGCAGAAATCCTCTGAGGATGTGGTTCATCTTGCCTCGTGCCAGCTAGAAAGAGAACTTGCAGTGATCAGCTGAAATTTCTAGCTTTTAGACATGTAAAGAATTTCACACCCAGTTTTCTCACAGGTTCTTGTCAATATATTCCCTTCAGTTTAAAAAAAGGTAAAAAAAAAAATGTCCCCATTCAGGGCTTTAACACAACAGATCCACTCCTGGATGAATGTTTCCTCCTCGCTCACATCGGGATGGCCAGAGGCTCCAAGAAGAAATCTCTCTTCACAGTGTGTGCTACTACTCACAGGAACAGAACAAACCCTACTACAGCTATTCTCACTGCACGGAGTAATAGTGATGCGTTCCTAAATACAATATACATCCGAAAGCACCTTCTGAGGCTGGAAACGGTTCAACTCAACAGCTTTAAACAGAAGAGGCTATCAATTCGAGGGCTTCATTTCTCAAAACACGGCTCTGCCCAGAATCAGAGCACAGCTATTATTAAAATATTCTGAGTCTCACCAGAATAAATGCATGTTATATGCAGTACCTGACAGTCTCATCAGATTCCTTGAAAAACACGATGCTTGGTGATGTGATTAAGATTCTCTGTAGCCTTTTCTATCACAGAATCACAGAATGTTGGGGTTGGAAGGGACCTCTGGAGATCCCCCAGTGCCACCCCCTGCCAGAGCAGGGTCACCCAGGGCAGCCCCACAGGAACGCGTCCAGGCGGGTTGGAAAGTCGCCAGAGCAGGAGACTCCACACCCTCTCTGGGCAGCCTGGGCCAGGGCTCCGGCACCCGCACAGCCAACAAGTTTCTCCTCACGTTGAGCTGGAACTTCCCATGTTCTAACTTAAACCCATTATTCCTTGTCCTATTGCTGGGCACCACTGAGAAGAGATTGTCCCCTTGCCCTTGACCCGCACCCCTCAGATATTTCATTATACGTTAACAAGGTCCCCTCTCAGCCGTCTCCTTTCCAGGCTGAACAGCCTCAGGTCTCTCAGTCTCTTCCCAGCAGAGATGTTCAGTTCCTTGATCCCCCTCGTAGCTCTAACTAACAAAGGGCCAGTTAATTATTTTATCAATTGGGAACTTATTTGAAAAATCAAATAAAAAACACAAAACTGACTTATATTTGCCCTGTCTCTGCGAGAAAACAAGACAACATGCAAGCTTCTAAAACGGAAGCTCAAAATGAGAAAAGAACATTAGCAGCTGCCCCACGCTACAATGAAATTCGAAATTACATACCTCAAGCTTTGTTCTCTGGATTCCTGCATCTTGGCTTTTTTCACCTGCAAAGACAAAAACGCTCAGAGACGCAGCTAGCGAGAGCTGTCCGTGACCGAGCCGACGCAGGCAGACCTCCGTGAGCAGAGCACCACTGGCTACCAGAGTTCGTCGCAGTGTTTAAATACAGGCAACCTTGCACCAAGCTCCAGAGCTCACCGCCTCACCCTGGGTTCTTCATCTCAAAACAAGGTTTTTCCTAACTACAAAACAAGTACTAAGGCTGAACGTGCCAGCAAAATCGCCATGTTGTTTAAGTAAGTAACAGATGATGGGATGTACTTCTACAAATGTCTGATAAGGACAATTTTATGGAAATTGAATAAAATAGCCAGAAATTCTACAAAAATCTTATTCTACGTGTGGCACAACTACAACAAACTCGAGTTCCTTTGCTTCCCCCCCCCATTTAAATATTTTAGGAAGACACAAACTTGAGTATTTTTTCTGTAATAAATTCTGAGTTCCAATTTTCATTTCTGAGTAAAAACAACACAGAGCTTATTCTGGTTTTGCAGGTGGCCAGTTGGATCTAGTTCCAGTATTACACAACAGAAAGTCCTGGCTTGAACTCAGGTTCGGTTTGCTTCATGCAGGCTCCAAATACCACTCTGAAATCCTGGGCAGGATGATAGGCTTAATTTCTGCAGCCC